AAGTTTATATGTTTATATGTTTTTAAGTTCTATGTTTGCTATTTTTTATGTTCTACAAAAACTAGTATTGATTTTTTTTTATTTTTCTTAAAAGGGTTGTTTGTTTTGTGAAAATTGGAAAATGTTTCTTTATTAAATTATTATTTTTTTTTTTAGTTCATTCATGAGTTTCTGCTCTACTTTATTTTTTATGTTTAATTTGACTACTGTTGAAATATGGTTTTAATTAAGTAAATTTTCATGAATTGAAATTTACTTTATTAATCATTAGCCAACAGTGTAGGTAATAAAATTGAAATCATCACCATTAAGGTAAGAATTACTTTGTTCTCTCGTAACACCATTAAACAGTTTTATATATATATATATATATATATATATATATATATATATATATATATATATATATATATATATATATATATATATATATATATATATATATATATATATATTATTGTTATTGTTTACTAAAGCATTTTTTTATGATTATTGTTATATCATTGCTATTTTGTGCAACTATACCTAAAGATAATTCTGCTAACATAATTCTGAAAATAAAATAGCTTTTTTTTTTCCATTACTTTTTTGTTTCAGATAATTTTGTTAAAAATTTCAAGAGAAGCTTGAACAAAAAATGATTATTGAAATTCTTCTATCACAGCTTTTATACTTTTAATATAAAAAAAATGAAATTGTTGAATGGGTTGTAGCAACATTTTTGAAATTCGTACCTGTAAAACAGTCAAAATATCAGAAATAATAAAATAATTCCTAATCAAATTTATATAAATTTGACACTTTTTCTTGAATTAAAAAAATTAAATTTCAGCTCAAAAAATTTAATTTTTTTAAATTGGAAGCTGTTGGCATCTACCACAAAAGGTTAATTAAAAAAAATACTTTTATTGGTATGATAATATCTAAAAATTTTCTTGATTGGAGTCACAAGATTTAGCATAAGGTAAAGACCAAACTCTGCTAGAGGTTTATATTTTTTTCCAAATTCAGTGCTTGATTTATTTTACCTTTAATTGTTCCATAATTTGGATTTAATAATTAATATCTCCTAAAGAAAGAAAGTTAGACCATGGGTTTGATGTGATGGTTAAAATCTCAGGCAAAGTATTGACTTACCATTGTGGGTGTTCCATAATTGCAATAAGGTTTTTCTAGATAATCCTTTTGGTAAATTTCAATATTTGATTTTAGATTACAAATTTGTACAACTTACCTGCACAACTTTTTGCAAATAAATTTTTTTAACATTGCAATCTAGAGCTTTATATTTTTTGAAAGACTTAAAGACTATAATAGATAAAAGAAAAACAATAAAGGTTTCTTTATTGTTTTTCTTTTATCATTATAGGATAAAAGCTCAGCAATATGGAAATTTGATCCAACTCTTACCACCAAAAAAATCTTTTTTTTAATTTTTTTTTAATTTTTTGTTAAACTGTAGCTGCTTGTACACTTTTTATTTAATGCATTATATGTTACATATTTCTGACCATAATCTTTTTTGAATATGACACAATTTTCACAACTGAGTTTGAGGCAACTTAGAATTTAGAAGCGTTCAAAATTGCATTATGCACTTTTGTTGTTTTGTTTACTCAAATTTTGTTAAATGAAAATCTGTACTTGTATGGAATATTGTTGCCATATCTGGGGCAGATCTTCCAATGATGTCCTGTCCCTTTTAGAAAAGGTACAAAAACACATTGTACATATAGCTGGATCTGCTCTTACAGCCAACCTCCAACCATAATTACATCATCACAATGTTGCTTTTTTTCCTCTATTCTACAAATACTTTAATGGGTACTACTCTAAAGAGGTAGCGACTCTGGTTCTATCTACTAAAATTCATTCCCATCTTACTTGTCATTCGATTAAGTCTCATCCTTTTTCTGCGACAGTTCCTGAGT